TCTTGATATTCAGAGCTGGTGTCTTTCCTTGTTACAGCCTTCTGCCTATGTGCTAGAAGTTTTCAAGAAGGTCAAGTCGAGGTGAGTCCCAAGAACCTTATTGCTGAACAGGTTTGTGACCTAGTCTTGGATTTCTGGGCTCAGGACTGGCTGAGCTCCTGGAACGTGCTGGGTATGGGCAGTCTGGGGTGTCCGGAGTTACTGTTCCTTGCAGCTCCTTTTGGAGCCTGAGTGGAAATTGTTTATTCCATGGGGAGTGTTGGATGAAGCTTGTGTATGTGGGTTGGCTGCCTGGAGGTGCAGATGTATGTGAAGAGCAGCTGGGGGATGCAGAGGAGGGAACATCAGGTGCTTGCTCCCTGTGCCAGAAGGTGTCTGCTGGCCTGTGCTGTTGTCTGTGCAGATGCACTGTGCTTTGTGGGCAGTCACAGACCAGCAGTGATGAATGCTTAGCACAGCTTTTGTACCAGAACCTCCCTCTATGGAAGTGTTTGCTGCTCAACTGTAGCAGTGCAGTGGCTGAGACTAATGCTTCTGTCTCTTTCCTTTCTCCTCAGTGAGCTGGAAGAGTCTCTCCTGGTGCTGCCCTTCTCCTATGTCCCTGACCTGCTCAGACTCTTCAATGAATATATTCACCTGGGTTCAGAAGTTGAACTCCTGTGCCGAGCTCTCCTCTTCCTGCTCAAGTGAGTCTTTCATCTGCCCAGACAGATCTGCTGGTCTTAGTTCAGTTGCTATTGCTGTCCAGAACCTGAACCCAAGGAGGTCCTAACAGGGCTCTGGTCAGTAGTGGGCCTGCTGGTTCCTCTGGGCCCCTCATGCTGGTGCATGTCATGAACTCATTTTGTGCCAGTTACATGACCAGAGAGAGGTCCTTGCTCCTGTGCTGGAGTCAGTGCTGTGGGACAGCACAGAGCTGGGGAACGCACCCCGTATCCTGGAGCTACAACGATGACGTTGCTGTGAACGCACGCAGCATAAGAGTGTGGGGAAAATTCGGGCTTTTGCATTTGTTTCTGGGTCTGAAGCTCTTGGGAAGTGTCCTTGGGAATAAAGACGTGGTTTCTGCAGGAGGTGAGGAATCACTGCAGCCCACAGTGTATGGTGTGTGGGAATGGACTGATCAAATGCAAAGTGATGACGTGCCCAGATGGGGTTGCTGGTCCTGGTCCCCCAAGTCTCACTGGTATGAAAGATCCTCCATCAAGGCTGAAATGGCACTGCTGACTGGCACAGAGCCATTGTAGAGCGTGACCTCAGACAGACCTTCCCCTTGAGACTTGGTCTGTTGAAGAGAAGCTTCAGAAAACAGGTTTTCCACATCAATCTGCCCGTGCCTGTTACATAAGGCTGGTCTGGAGAGGCCTAATTTATGAAAAATCCTATGTCCAGAAAATGCAGAGGCTGAGGAGAGGGGCTGTCTGGTGTTTCTAAGAACAGTGCTGCAATACATCACTGTCTGCTTTGTTCCCAGGGTACACTTTGGGCAGATCACAAGCAACCACATGCTGGTGACAGTGATAGAAAATCTGAAGAAAACCACCATCTCTAGAGTCAGCGAGGCCCGGGTGAGTGTTGCACCCTCCCCTTTTCCAGGACCTGGAATAACAGGATGGGCCAGTGTGGGAGCGTGTGTAGTCTGTGATGTCCAGTGGGAAAGTTGGTTGGGGGTCTGAGCCCATTTCACCTCCCTCCTGCGCAAATAAGCTGCCTTTTCCATGTGTTCTTCCTGATGTGAGACTACCCAGCGATGAGCTTGCGCTCATGCTCCCTCCCTCATTTCCTCTTGGCTTTCTTTGAGATACGTATTTGGGCTTTGACTCGCTAGTTTTTCACTCTCTGTTTCTCTTGGACTTCTGTGGGCTTCTAGTCTCTCAAATAATGCAGACCATGCATCTTCCCAGAGGCAAGTTCAGGTGCCTGCCAGCAACTTGGCTTTCAGAAAATACAGTGGGTTATGGCTGCTGTGAAGAGAGAACCGTGGAACAGAGTGCATGACTGACTGTTCTCCCGCTCAGATGAAGTTTACATTTAAATAATGCTGCTTTATTTAAATCTGGGGATTGTCTTGCTTTCCTCATTTCTTAGAGGGTGGCAAGTGCAGGACCCTGTTCTCCCTAACAAGCTTAGATGTGCCCAACAGTGTGGTGCTGGTCTGTCTCTGCAGGATGTGCTAGGATTCAACATGGCAGGGCTCCAGTACCTGAAGAGGGAGATTGAGGCCAAGGATGAGGTGACGTTTTTTGCTGATGCTACCGACCGTTTTGAGGAGAAGAAGAGGAAGAGGAAGAAGAAAGAGAAGATGGTTCTTGCAGTGCTCTAGCATCCGCTGCCCAGGACCCAGAGCACCTGGATGGGGTCACGTAACCTCATTGCTGGCCATGGAAGTGTTCTTGTGGCTGAACATCTCTGATGATAGCTGGTGACTGGGACAGTCTGTCCTTTCCCCATGTGGTATAACCCAGCATGTGACCTCAACTCAGAATGACTGACTCTGAGATGAACTCTCTAGTTGGGTTTGAACTATTTCTGAGGTGGCTGTCAAAAGTACATGCTTCTCCTCCAGTGGAATGCCCCTTAGATTTCTTCTGCGGAAGAGATCAGCCCACTCTGGCAGTCACTCAGTGGAGTGAATCCAGCCCATGGACTGCTGGTGAGACCATGCCCTATCCAGGGAAGGCAGAGGCAAGATTTTATGCTGTTTTGACACCTGCCTGGTGGTTGGTGTTAGTGCTTAGGGTCTCTGGGCAAAGCCACGTCACTTCTGCCAAAGTGTGAGAACTTGGTCTACACCCACTTGCTTTTTAGTGGGACAGCAAAAAACATGGCTGCACCCTATTAAAGGTGCATATTTCTATATGCTTTATGAGACAGCTTTTTGTTTGTGGAGTTTTGTCCTGATGTTTCTCTAGTAAAGCCTCAACTGCCTTGCCCTGTGTGTCAGTTCTCAAAGGATTTTTTTCCCAGGGAGTAAAATCTGTAGGATCCAGTGGAAGGGCTGCGATGATCCAGGATAGTGCTGTTCCATAGAGCTGGCAGACTGAGCATGACAAGCATGAGTTGTTTGCATTGTACGTGCTCCAGTTTTTAGGAATCACACTGAATTGTTGCAGTGCTGTACTTGTATCAGATAAAAGGCTCTGCAGAGGGACCTGGACAGGCTGGATCGATGGGCCGAGGCCAACTGTATGAGGTTTAACAAGGCCAAGTGCCAGGTCCTGCACTTGGGTCACAACAACCCCATGCAACGCTGCAGCCTTGGTGGGGAGTGGCTGGAGAGCTGCCTGGCAGAAAAGGACCTGGGGATGCTGGTTGACAGCAGCTGAACATGAGCCAGCAGTGTGCCCAGGTGGCCAAGAAGGCAAATAGCATCCTGGCCTGTATCAGAAACAGTGTGGCCAGTAGGACCTGGAAAGTGATTGTGCCCCTGTGCTCAGCACTGGTGAGGCTGCGCCTCGAGTTCTGTGTTCAGTTTTGGGCCCCTCACTACAAGAAGGACATGGAGTGCTGGAGCATGTCCAGAGAAGGGCAATGAAGGTGGTGAAGGTTCTGGAGAACAAGTGTGATGAGGAGCGGCTGAGGGGACTGTGGTTGTTTGGCCTGGAGAAAAGGAGGCTGAGGGGAGACCTTGTCCCTCTCTACAACTACCTGAAAGGAGGGTGTAGCCAGGTGGGTGTTGGTCTCTTCTCCCAAATAACAAGTGACGGGACAAGAGGGAATGGCCTTAAGTTGTGCCAGGGGAGGTTTAGGTTGGATATTAGGAAAAATTTCTTCACTGAAAGGGTTGTCAAGCATTGTCACGCTGTCCAGGGAAGAGGTGGAGTTGCCATCCCTGTAGGTATTTAAAGGACATGTAGATGTGGCACTTGGGGACATGCTTTATTGGTGAACTTGGCAATGCCAGGTTTACAGTTGGACTAGATGATTGTAATGGTCTTTTCCAACCAAACTATTCTGATTCTAAGGAAATGATTTATTTCCACAGCGGGGGCAGTGGGGCAGGATAAAGTGAGCAGGTCTCTGCTGCTGTTGGTAAGTTATTAGTTTGTAGTACATGCTGTCTTTTTTACCAGTAATTACAGTTTTGGTGGATGTGGTGGGTGCTGCTTCTTGGTACTTTGCTGACTGTTGGACTTACATGTCTGATGCAGGTACTTAAAGCTGGACTTCTTTCTAATTTGAGCTTTATATGGATTTTTAATTGCACCCTAGTTGCTACTGACTACTGTCTTTTGACTTAGGTTCTCTATTATTCTCTACTAGCAATTATGCACAGAGCAGAGAGTCCAGTTGGTCAATCCTCTGGCACCTCTTAGAATAACTGTTGTTAGTAAACAACTTTGTCAGGAGGCTGATGGTTCACTTCCTTCTTCAGAGTCTTGGTAATTTACAGCAGCGCTTCATGCTCCAGTTCCAGGAGATGGGTCTCAGAACTACGGAAATAGCGATCTTCATACAGCTCTGCCAGTTGTTTCTGTGTGCCTCTGGAATTTTACTTTATCCAGATATGGATGAAACGTGTGATCAAGCAGCTCCAGTCAAACATGTCTCCATCCTGACCTATTCCGTCTTACTTTGTTCTATTCATTTACTCCTCCCAAAGGAGACCCTCATAAGAGGGATTCCTGCAGCGGGAGGGGGAGGAGGCACTGTGGGATGATGAATTGTGTTGGTAACCTCCGTTGACATACTGATGTCAGGCGCTGCTGGAATGGACTAGTGCACTGGGAAAACAAAGAAAAGTGTTACAAATGGAGAGGTGGCTCATGATACCTCAGTGCACCTTCAGCAGTGATGACTGAGGAGTGGGATACCAAAACCAGGGACTCTCTGCCTCCATGTGATGTGCTCTCTTTACCTCAGTGCCAGGGAGATAACGTTATGGAACCTACGTAATGAGCTGCTGTTTGGTGATGGCCACAGGTGCACATGAACTCGGACTGATGGCAAGGATGTAGATCGTAGTATAGAAGAGTGACTTGGGATGCAGAGTCATCTTCTCATGATGATGTCAGGTACCTCCTTTGATCTAAGTTGGACAGAGGTGGAATTTCTTCGCTTTTGTCTCTGTTGGCTGTCACTGGGATTTGGGAAGAATCCTTGGAAGAAAAAGGAGGTGGTGGGACGTGGTTGTCCTCTCTCCATAGGTGCTGACAGGTTTCTCCACTGAATTCTCCCTCTGGTTCTCTGATGTGTATCACCTGTGACCCGTCTGTGCCAACAACAGTGGCTTGCCTCAGTGCCCAGAACACATTCCCAAGGGGACTGATGTAGGACCGCTGGCTGTCTCTGCAGAAAACTAAAAAGCATCAGGGCAGAAATCAGCACAGTCAGTAGCAAAGTCATGGGTGCTGGAGAATCCTGGATCAAGTTTGGCACTGCTTCTGTGGTGTCTTCTTCTCTCTGGGTAGGGCTTAAACAATGTCCACAGCTGGGTATCTGTTTTGGCACTTTCCTGAGCTGGCTTTCAGCCTTGGTTACTAGGTCAAATCTGACTCAGAGAGCTGATGGACAAATAGGTATGTCTGGTGGGGTAGTGGAAAATAAGAGTGCAGTACTTGGATGGCTACTGAGGGAGCTCAGCCTGTGCTTTAAATGGAAGAGATCTCCTGTGCCAACAGTTCCTTGATACACCAGAATTCTGATATCCTTGGGTACCTCAGCTTGCCCTCTCTTGGGTGAAATTCCCTGGATTTACAAACCTGAACAGGAAAGCACTTGCAAATACAGGGCCAACTTCAAATGTGTATTGTTAGAATATGTGTCTCACTTAACAGTGTGAATGGGAGAGGCCAAAACTGGCCTGGTATTATTTAATCCCCAGTCATGGGATTCTCAGTCACTGTAAAGTGTTGAGAGAACAAGTCATCTGCATGTATCAGGGAAAATTCCCCATCTCTCAGGATGTCACATGCTGGAAAAAGGATGAAGCACAGGAAAGCACCTCATTGGAAATGCATTCATAAAAAGAAAGCAGAACTGCACTTGGATATACAAATACGGTGTCTCACAAAGAGACCGCAGTGTTTCTTCTAGTCACTCCTGTGCAAGTAGGAACAAAGTGGGGAAAAAAGGCCATCTCTGAGTGGCTCTGTCTTCCACTATGAGGAGAGATGTGCAGATGAGCATTTGAAGTTTATCATGTCTGATAGTCAACAAGAGGATATAAGCAAAATTTCCCTGTCGATCCCTCTCTGTCAAGCGTAATTTTGTGTACTCATCATCCCCATCTGGTGTCTGCAGCTAATTAAAGGCAGGTGAACACACAGAAAGTTAAGCCTGTGATTGTGAAAGCAAACAGAAATCTAGGAATGAGAAGACCAGAGCAGATCAGCTCTTGGAGAATCACTTCTGTGAAACCTGCTGCATGCTCAGGTGCCTCAGCACAGGTTAGAGAAACCCCACCCCTTTTGAAAAGAAAATATGCCTATTGAGAACCATTCAGCATTCTTCTGAAGAGCAGAGTATCAAACACTGGGGCTGAAATACAGTCATGTTTGCCTTTCAGATGGCCACATCAGAGGGCTCTGCAACTTTTGGACCATCTTTCCCATTAATAGGGGACAGACAAAATATTTATTAATGTTAATAGGATGAGATAAATGCAAAAGTCTACATTGGGAGGTTTCTATAACGTTGGACTAAAATTCGGGTATTTCAGTATTGCTGATCTTCATCTTATTCTTCTGGGGCTCTGACCTGTAGTGAAAAAGGAGAGAGAAAATTCACATGAAAGAAAACCAAACAAACACACCCCGACTCCACCTTTGTACGGTTGTTAAAGCAAACCCAGTAATTAGGTCCAGATTGTTTGCAAGTGTTGTGCAAGCACTGTGATTGCTGCAGACTGCCTTCAGGAGAACTGCTGTTGAAAGGGAACAACACGAGATACGGGCTTCAACTAGATTTAGGAGTTTGCTTTTATTTCACAAATTGAGTGGCATAAAAATCATGACCATGAGTTTAGGATGGGCAGTCTACTGAAGGCTTTCATGGGCAAACTTCCTACGCAGTATTTAATTATGAATATATTAAGAGAATCTTTGTGAAATTTTTAAATATAAATGAGAAATAACTAAGAAAATATAAATGAGATATGATTAAGTTCAGTTAGGTGATGCTTCATCAGTGGTTTTTGCTTTTGGTCTCTACTAGTAGGTGTGGAAAGTTTGTGATCAGTTCTAATATTGCAGGGAATTTTCTAGGTCTCGATGGAGAGAATCATGGGCTCTGGTGATAACCACCTGGGAAAGGTGATATGAATGTAAAAAGTTATCACAGTGCCTCTGCCAAGACTTAACTATTTCTGTTCTGGATGACTGAACAAGACTATTTAGCCAAATGCAGGATTTAACCTAGGAGTGTCAATGTTTCATGGTTTGTGCCTAAACCAACAAGTCCAGAGTTCCTTGACATGACTGAGATAGAGATGGTTTTGAGTCCAGGGGATTTTTATGGGGAGGAATGTCTGAAGAGGCATTTGGTACAGTTGCTTGGGTAGCCTGAGGTAGCTGTAGCCACCTTCAGTAGGAATTGCCAATCAATTCACAAAAAGACTCTGTCAGAGCAGAAGAGAGTTTTGGCTGTAGGGACGGCAACTGTGATTAGCCGGATTGCCCATGTGGGAGGAGAATACCATGGAGTTAATTTCTCTTCACTTGGAGCTTTTCATGGGAGAGGACACTGATCAGAATTTCTGCTGGGAGAAGGGTGAGTACTTCTCTTCCATTTCAACACAAAATGAGAAAAGTTTGTCTAAATTGCCTTCACTGATGAGCTCCAGGTTGTAATCCCCTAAGGTGGAAGGCAATAAATTTGCTTTTCTTCTAGACTGCAGTTGCATGCTACTCTAGGGGTAAGGAATTGACTGGAAAAGGTAAGAAGATACTTAAATGGGGGGGAAGCAAGCTACATTTGATGTACTCTGGGCAGTTGTGGAGCAGATGCAGCAGTCAGAGGTGCACGTCTCTGTGAAGTTTCTTTTGAGAACTGACTGATATGGTTGCTTTTTTTTTCTCCAGAGGAGAGGAAATGAGATACAGCTGGGATTTCTTTACTGACTCGTTAGATAACATGGCAGACTTACAGATGTTAAAGTTGAAAGAAAAAGATGTCAGTGTTACACGTATGAAGCAAATGGGGACTTTTGAGCTGAGGAGAGAAGAAACATCTATAGGGTTCTTGTTTATGAACTGTCACCGATTGTGTTGAGAGTGCCCGAGCTGATAAAGGTGAGATCAAACATCAGCCTAATGTTGAACGTGTTGGCTGGTGGTTTGAGGAGACATTCCCGATAAGGCTTTCTTGTTGGCACTTAGCCATTGTCTGTACAGAGTCTGGTTCTCTGAGGTTACAGAAATGTGCTGTATGAAACTCTGTGTGCAGAGAGTCATGGGTGCTTGAACCTGTCATGTTAAAGTTGCCCTGACTATCTGTAGGACTTGTGTCCTTATTAGACAAGGACAATGTAAATGTCCTCATCTAATGTGTAAATGTTGTAAATGTCAAAGGGTCAGCAGTAAGATGTGGTTTTAGAAAGTAAGGAGTGTTAGAGGCTGATTTATTAGAGCTTAACTGCAATAAATCCAGCCTCCTGCTGTCAGGAGGCTCAATGACTTTAATGTGGAGATAGTGAAGTCAAGGAATTGGGACAGGACTGGGGAGGCTCTGCTGTGAGTGCCCCTACTGAGCTGAGCTGTTGTAGTAACCTGTGAATCTCTTGCAGTCAGTCCTTTGGTTAACGTCATCCAGTGCTTCCCTTTTCTCCTCTCAGGTCATTGTGTCTGTTTGATGTGTGCGTGACAACTCTGCTGTCAGCTGCTTGAGGTTTGTTGATGATGTGGATCAGAAGCCAAGAGGTAAAACAACAGTGATTTCATTTATGGCTGGTATCCCTGCGTGCAGTACTTACGTGAACCAGAAAGCTTTCGGGGTAGCGTAATGCGCAGCCGCGGTGTGGGGCTTGTAGGAACTACCCGGACCGTTGCTGCCATCCCGCCCTGGGGGTATCCTCGTGGGCGGCGCTCGTAAATGGCACTGGCTAACACAGGTGGGATATCACGTTAAGGATCTAACCGTTCATGTAACTAAAATAATATGCGTGGAGGCTGGAATGAATTCTGGAAATAAGGCTGTGAAACAACTTGAATCTGGACTACTGCCCGAAGATTAAAGACCAGGTAAAATATTGGGGAAGGGCACATGTTTTGGAGGCTGGTCTGCAAGTGTGTGAATGAGAAGAGAGCAGGAGGTGATTTTTGCTGCTGTGCCACCAGTCCTGTCTACCTCAGCTCCCCAATAACGGTCAGGAAAGACTTCTTTGGGTCACCAGGAAGTAAATTGGGGGAGTTTCAGTGTCACTTCCAGAGTATGTAGCATCTCAGTGGAGTTGCTGTTAGCTAGTACTCTGGTCAGCTTCCGAGGAACCTGAAGTTCTCCTTTCTTTGGTAAGGGTGGCCCTTACCAGGAGTGGAGTTTCTGGAAAGTTTGGATGCACTTTTCCTTGCTGTTTCTTCTCTAGGTTTCCAGAAGACCTCTTCTTCCAGGCTTTTAAGTGTAAATTTGATTAAAGGTCAAACAGAATTTCACCCTTTCTTCTGAACTTGCTCTTAAATAATGAACCTGGAATTTTATCTAAAAAATAATTCTAGTTTCTGGAGCACAGGAGAAAGAGAAATAATAGTTCTTGACTTTGCTGTTTTCTTTTACTCTACCTCTGTCCTCAGTTAAACAACTGAGAAGCCCACTGAACCCAGACTGGGCTGATTTCTGACAGCATTCATGCACTTCTGTGCCTGTGTCTCTTCTGACACAGGGATTGCCTCGTTTGTCCGTTGAGTATCCAGGATGATACGTGATTTTGTTGCTGATGAGGCCGTACTATCAGATGCTACCATAGGTTCAGAAAGATTATAAAGGATTTCCATTGGAGGTTTTTTTTTAAAGAGTTCCTATTCTTTTCATTTATTTTTTAAAAGCCACGTCTTTCTGAGCTTACCATTCTTTCTTTCCCCACCTCTGAAAACCTTGTTACTCTGATGGAAATTGCTTTTGGCATAAAAATCTCAAATTGTTCATTTGTTGTGCTTTTGAAAACACCCACTTGTGTGTTTCTGAAAAGGACAGTAAAGCTTGGTACCACAGCAGCCTGCACTGGAAATGATGCTTAAGGCTCCTGACAGGTGGGCAGTCCCCAAGGCTGATGCTAAAGGTGTGTGGGGGAAGTAAGATGACAAAGGATATTTGCTCGCACAGGCAGGAGAAGGGTCTCTGTTTCTGTTAATATTTCAATATCATGGGAAACTTCTTCAAGGCCACCAGCATCTTCCCCTCCGATTACCATGGCAAAAATCTCTATCTCCAGTTCAACCTGCAAGCCTGCTGCCACCTGGGAGAGACAGAGGATTACTCACAGGTGAGGTTCATGTTTCATACCTTGTCCCCTCCGGCAGCCCTTGGAGCTGGTGCTTGTTCTGTGTTGTCTGATGAAATTAAAGACACATATGGTTGTACTTGCCAGTCACCCCGTGTCCGTTTCACTAGGAAGGTCTGTACAAAACAGTGCCTCTTCATGTGGCAGTTTGAAAGAAAACTGCCAGGTGTTTGTGTACTGTCCCCTTGAATTTCCTTTTAGGTTCTAGAGGGAGAAGGAGAATTGGGACAGCTGGGAGAGAATCAAAGAGAGAGGTGTTTGATGTCCCAAGCCTGTCGGTGTTTGAGGCATTTGGACAATGCCCTTAATACCATGCTTTAACCTTTGGTCAGCCCTGAAGTTGTCTGGCAGTTGGACTAGATGACTGTTGTAGGTCCCTTCCAACTGAAATAAAATATTCTACTCCATTCAAAAAAGGACATAAAGGTAGGGAGAAAAGGGAGATATAAAAGGGATGGATGTGTGGAGAGGAAAAGAGAATGGAAATTATTCCAGCCGTCTGTCTGGACTTCTGTAAGGCCTTTGACATGGTCCCCCACAACATCCTTCTCTCTGAATTGGAGAGATATGGATTTGATGGATGGACTGTTTGGTGGATGAGGAATTGGTTGGACGGTCTCATCCAGAGGGTAGTGGTCATTGGCTCAATGTCCAGATGGAGATCGGTGATGAGTGGTGTTCCTCAGGGGTCCATACTTGGACCAGTGCTGTTTAATATCTTCATCAATGACACAGTGGGATTGAGTGCACCCCTGGCACAAGTTTACAGATCATACCAAGCTGAGTGGTGTGGTTGACATGATTGAGGCACAGGATGCCATCCAGAGGGACCTGGACAAACTTGAGAAGTGGGCCCATGTGAACCTCATGAGGTTCAACAAGGCCAAGTACAAGGTCCTGCACCTGGGTTAGGGTAATTCCCAGTATCACTACAGGCTGGGGGATGAAGGCACTGGGAGCAGCCCTGAGGAGACCTTCTGGAGCGGTTCCAGAGGAGGCCACAAAAGTGATCAGAGAGAGGGAACAGCTTTGCTGTGAGGACAGGCTGAGAGAGTTGGGCTTGTTCAGCCTGGAGAAGAGAAGGCTCCAGGGAGACCTTATCATGGCCTTTCAATACTTGAAGGGGGCCTATAAGAAAGATGGATTCAGATTTTTTAGCAAGGCCTGTAGTGATAGGACAAGGGGTGATGGTTTTAAACTAAAAGGGGAGATTCAGACTAGATGTAAGGAAGAAATTTTTTACACTGAGGGTGGTGAAACCCTGGCCCAGGTTGCCCAGAGAGGTGGTAGAAGCCCCGTCCCTGGAAACATTCAAGGTCAGGCTGGACAGGGCTCTGAGCAACCTGATCTAGTTGAAGATGTCCCTGCTCACTGCAGGGGGGTTGGACTAGATGGCCTTTAAAGGTTCCTTCCAACTCAAACCATTCTGTGATTCTATGATTTTAAGTACCGAGCTGTGGGTAGGGCTCTGGACTAGGAGGTTTAATTTGCATTCTGGCACTGCCTCTTTGCATAAGTCATTGCTTCTTCGTTCCATGCCTGTAAAAAGCACTGGCAAGGATATTGGCTGATATTACCTGTGGGGATGCTGTGGGGATACTGGCCAGCACAATATTTATTGGGATACAACACGCAGGTGAAGAGAGAGATTGAAGAAAGGCAGAAAGCATGAAAGCTTCTTACTTAATAGGATGATTTCACATGTGATGGTGCTTTGCTAGGTAAAACACTTAAGGTGGAGAATAGTTGGAAGCAGAAGAAATGGTTGAGGCAAGAGCTTGCGAGGTTCAACTCCTAAAGGTATCAGGACAGGAGATGAAATCTCGGGCAGATGTAACAAATACCCTAAATGATGGGAAAACTCGGAGGTAGTGGTAGAGTATTCCATTTGCTTCAAAAAAGCTCTTGTTAACCTCAGGGCTTGACCTGCTGCTTTCCACTGAACTTAACATGTTTATCCCTCTACATTCTGGCACAGCCTCTGAGACTCAGCGCATGGGGTGCTCGGCTGAAGGCAGAAGAGGGACAGTGGAAGGCAGAATCACTTCAAATAATTCTAAACGAATCATGTACCCTGTCAGTTCTATTCCCAGACAGCTGGTGTGAGAGGACCCCTAGATGGCCTGAGGGCCAGCTGAGTCTAGCAAAACCATGAGATTTTCTGCGTAACCTACCGGTCCTGGTGTGTACATCACTCTCAGTCCTGTGTGCGGAGGTGGTTGCTTCACCCGAAACCTGTCAGAAAGAGAAGAGAATCACTTTGCCAGAAACTTCCAGGCAGGCAGAAGGCACTGCTGGGAAGCAGGCTGGCTGCTCTTCCTCTGCTTGGGCAAGCACATTTATCAGCTAGTCCTTCCCATCACAATGTACAACTTGGGCTACAGTGGTATTCCTGGGCTTCTTGCCAAGGTTCAGGTTTCTGAAAAAAGCAAAAACAGAAACAAAAATCCCCAAACCCGAAAGCAGCAGATTAATGGGGCAAAGTAAGTCTCCAAAGAGCTCATTACACTGCCCGCTCCTTACAACAGACTGTGAAATATCAGCATTCTAAGCCTGCATGCACAAAGGAAGCTGAAGTACAAATGGTATGACCTCTACGTTGGCACAGCTCTGCACTTTATCCTGTGGTTCTCATTTCCACCCAAAGAACAGTTACCAGCACCCACTTGCACCAGAAGGTGTTAAAGGGAAGCAGAAGAGGCATTCCTAGTCTGTGGCTCCATCTTATGGAAAGCTCTGGCAGAATTACAAACTGGCTGTCAGAATTCCTGCACTTTCTCTGGAGTGCTGCCTGTTATGAGAAACTGAACTTGATTTTTGTCAGAATGTCCCAACGAGTTCAGGCTATGGTATGGAAGGCACCTAGTTAACTACGAACCCTGTCATGGAAAAGTTTTGGCTTCAGCATGAGGCAGACATGGCTCAGAACTGCCCACCATTAGCCCTACCCCTGCCCTCAGCAATGCATATTTGGACAGATAAAAACCAAGGTACTAAGAATTCAAACTAACCTTGAGAAGTTCACACCAACATTCTTCAGGATCACAGTGGCTGCATAGGTGCAGCCTTCCTTTAGCACTCCAAGCGTCACTCTGGGTGGAATGAGATAGAAGCCACTAAGATGCTGCCTTCTTGTTGCAAGAGAAGATGTGTTGACTTTTCCTGCGACAGGATCTTCTATCTTTGCAAACAGAATTAAAATATTAGACTCCAGGGAAAGTTGTTGGCCCTCAAATTAGGTTCAGAGTTACTTAATCTACATTTGACCTCTGTCCACTCATTCTGAAGAATTACAGAAAGGTGATTCTGTCCTAATTTGAGTAAAAACTAAAGAGGCACTTTGAATATTGTCTGCAGATTTATACTAGTTTAAGTTTGCAAACATACTAAGCCATTGAGATGTCTCAGGAGGAATGGGGGAAGAAGCCTTCTTTTGGAGCTTCCATGTGGGTGCCTGGTGCAGAACTGTACTTTCAGCATATGAGTTTGTCCTGGCAGTTGTGAGGAAAGGTACTTTTAGAATTGCCAGTAAACTTGTACATAAATTGCAACTGCTATAGTTTCAGTAAACAGATTCAAAATCCCTTATGGTATTGCTCCAGAATGAATATTTCATTCAAAGAGATGACTAAGAGGACATTAACATCAACAAAAAAGATGTTATTTTACCTTTTTATTTGGTATGGAGTTTGGTTTTCTTCCCTGAAGGGATGATGGTAATTTCACTTTCTCTTTTCTTGGCTGTCCTGCAGCGTTCACCAGAAGACTCTGAACTTTACATTGAAAGGGTGTCTCTTGTGATCTTGCAGCACTGCTTAGGTCTGGAAAAGAAAGCATGAAAAACAAAGCATCATATTCAGAACAACCCTGAAGTTGTTGTTCAGGTAAGATTTTTATTTTCTACGAAAGCATTTGATTAGCACAAGGACAGAAAAAATTATCTCATTTTTATTTAAGAGGTCAAGAAAGGCATTGAGAAACCTCCTAATAGTAGCAAGTAATTAAAATGTAACTAATAAGTAAAGTTGAACTATAATTATTAGAACTAATGAGTTGGAAGCATCTCAGTGGAAACTTGCAATGAAGACTCCAGCACTGCCTCTCTCTGTGCACCTAGGAGAGCTGCCTGAGGGTCAGGGGGTTTATTTTTCTTGCTGAACAGCATACTGCAGCCTTGCAAGGGAGTTTCATTAGTTAATTGAAAGAAACGTGATTATTAGATAAGATTTCATTAATAAATTACTATATTCCATCAAGGGATCTCAAAGCATTTCTAGCAACATAAACTTCATTTCACATCAGCTCAGTGGGCAAGGCAAAAATCAGTAGTATCTCTTGCAGAGAGGAAAACTGAAACCAAGAGCCCACTGTGTGCCAGTGGCAGAGGTCAGGACCTCCCAACTCTCAGTCCCTTGCTCCAACTTCTGTCTGAGCTTTCTTCTGGTGACAGAAGAAAGTGCAATGAAGGTACAAACACCTGTGAAAGTGGTTTAAAAACAGAAGAGGAATTACAAAATCCCAAGCACTAAAATAAAAATCAAGGCTATTACTATTCCAAAGACATGCCTGCAGTGCACAGTGACATGCTGTGCAGAAACACCCAGGCTGGGCAAGTCTAATCTGGATGTCTCTCTATTTCCATTGGGTTTGCATGGCCAGGTTTGGGTAGCGGGGGAGGGGGGCGGGGATAGGACATAGGGGTG